CATGTGAAAATGAAGTAGAAAAATAGGAACCACCTTTGGTGTTAAGTGTTAAATCGGCGGAAGGAAAAGCAGAGGCGTCTGAGGTAACCGTAAAGAACTCTTTATTACAGGCAAGAACATCAACAGTTGGTAGACCGGCACCTCTCCTCCGTCTGACAGCTCCATATAAAAAGCTGTCAGATGGAGGAGAGGTGCCGGTCTACCAACTGTTGATGTTCTTGCCTGTAATAAAGAGTTGCTTACGGTTACCTCAGACGCCTCTGCTTTTCCTTCCGCTGATTTAACACTTAACACCAAAGGTGGTTCCTATTTTTCTACTTCATTTTCACATGCTTTCGAACTGCTAGGTTTGCAAAAGCTAGGACAAGTAACGAGAGCTCACTCCATTATGCGGCACTAGGGATTCGTACCGCTGAACTGCCAACCATTCTGATCGACAAGCTAAGCGTCTTAGCCACTGAGCCACCGCATCCCTTAACTCCCCTTAGTTTCACTTATTTTTAGTGATATAAAGCAGTCCAGTATTACCATTATGCTGTCAGCTACAACACTATGATTATATCAACATATTACCTGCCTCAATTCTATGCATTATAGCAGCATCCTAAAATGAACAGCCTTGCTTTATAACTGATCCATCAATCACAGCTTGGAACCACAAATGTATGTACCAAAGTGCAGCAACAACAAACACATTGTAATAATACTGTAGAACTAATCATGTACTCTTCACATATAAAAGACACATCCGTTGCCAGGCAGGCCTTATCCGTTTTTCATTCCTAGTGAACTGGATGATACCAACTGACACCTACAGCTAAATACTGAATTGTTTTGATAACCTAAACAATTTACTAAGGAACAAATTACTAAGAAATATGGCATTCCATCTGGATGAAATCAGAAATGACAAACTGGTAATTGTCATAGTGAGCCATTTGCTACACAGCCTAGTATAGTGATGGTTAATCTTTTTGGTGCTAAGCGCCTAAAGCATGCACACACGTACATGCACGCAAGAGTGCCCCAATCCAATCCCCAAAATGCAATATGAGTGCATGCCCTACTCCTGCGCATGCACATGCTCCCCTCCCCTCGCCTCCATTATGACTCCCAGGTTGGTGCTGGAGGCTTTTAGGGCTCAAAATGGGGCACGGAGTTGCTTCGCGAGCTCTGTAGTTTCTTCCCAGAACGCCCAGGCTTTCTCCTCCATTTCTGCTTCTCATGCCTTCCTGATCTCCGTAGTTTCTCCCCAGCGTGCCTAGGCTTTCTCCCCCATTCCTGCCACGGAGAGGCACCTGTGGAGGGTAGAACCTGCAGAGATCGGGAAAGGCATGGACAGCAGGAATGCAGGAGAAAGCACCCCCACGCATGCGCGGCAGAGACCCAAAGACCAGCTGGTTGGCAGGAAGCGTGCACGCATGCACAGTGGAGCTGGCCTGGGGTGATGGCTAGTGTGCCTGCAGTCAAGGCTCTGCATGCTATCTGTGGCACATGTGGCATAGGTTCACCATCACAGGTCTAGTATATTGGAGGGAGGGAGGAAGGAAGGAAGGAAGGAAGGAAGGAAGGAAGGAAGGAAGGAAGGAAGGAAGGAAGGAAAGAAAGAAAGAAAGAAAGAAAGAAAGAGGGGGGAGGGAAGGAGGGGGAATAATCTAACCTACTTCAATGTAATCTAGATATATTGGTTATCTACTTAACCTAGACTTGTCTGAAAAAGAAAACAGATAGAAACAGTCTAGTAGACTAACTCTCAACATTTGTTGTTTTTACTATTATTCTATTTAATATTTATTTTAATAATTAATTTTATTTTGCTAATAATTAAATATTAATATGTATTATTCTACTGTGAAAATATTTAAAATAGGATTCACGTATCTATTTTCACTGCCATAGAGAAGTAATACATAGCATTAAATATTTAAGAACCTGGTTTTGATTAGTACATTGCATTTCAGATAGTGGAGCAAATGTATCAATTAAAGGCATCCATAATTGCCAAATTTCATACACATATTAAAAAACGTTCATGAAATAAAATTGTGCATCGCCTCCAAGAAGTATCTTTTACAGTACTAAAACGTATTAAATATATTTTCTAAGAAGTAATTCCCTGTAGTCTCATAAAAGAATTTGATGAGACCGTAACCATTGCACAAAAAGCTCAGCTTGAAATGCGATCAATGTTAAACATGTTTCATCCCAAACTTTGCTCTCTACATGGTCATGTTTCATAATTTACATTTAGTATCAATTTTCATTCATTTTAGGAATCGACCCCTAAATATTTTGTAGTGTTGGTTGTGTGCTTTGTACCCGATAA